AAAGTTTCAATTATAGAAGGTAAATAAACCCCAGATACCTGCTTTCAGCAAGCGTGGCCACGGAGCTGGAGCAAGCAGGAGGCTTCCCTTCTGCCCGCCCTGGCGGCCTGGGAGCTCCTCTCAAGGCTACAAAGTTTCAATTATAGAAGGTAAATAAATCCCAGAATAAAATAAGAAAAAGAAAAAAAGAAGAGGCTGGGAGCTTCCGTCACCGGGGGGCTAGGCTAGCCTGAAAATGGTCCTCAGCCCCTCACCCAGGCTAGCCAAACCTCCATGGGGTGAGGGTCCCCCCTGGGGGGGGGGGCGCTTGACCAGCCTGCAAACAGCCATCAGCTCCTCACCCAGGCTGGCCAGGCCCCCCAGTGAGGGCCCCCCCCCTGAAGGGGGTGTGATCAGCCTGCAAACAGCCATCAGCTCCTCACCCAGGCTGGCCAGGCCCCCCAGTGAGGGCCCCCCCCCTGAAGGGGGTGTGATCAGCCTGCAAACAGCCATCAGCTCCTCACCCAGGCTGGCCAGGCCCCCCAGTGAGGGCCCCCCCCCTGAAGGGGGTGTGATCAGCCTGCAAACAGCCATCAGCTCCTCACCCAGGCTGGCCAGGCCCCCCAGTGAGGGCCCCCCCCCTGAAGGGGGTGTGATCAGCCTGCAAACAGCCATCAGCTCCTCACCCAGGCTGGCCAGGCACCCCAACGGGACCCCACCCTGGTCCGGGACACCATGCAGGGCAAACCAGCCAGCCCCCACCCATGCACCAGGCCTCTATCCTATATAATAAAAGGGTAATATGCAAACTGACCCTAAAAGCAGAACTACTGGAAATGACTGGTTACTGTGACACACACTGACCACCAGGGGGCAGATGCTCAATGCAGGAGATGCCCCCTGGTGGTCAGTGCGCTCCCACAGGGAGAGCTCTGATCAGCCACAAGCCAGGCTGATGGCTGCCAGTACAGCGGTGGTGGTGGGAGTCTCTCTCACCTCCTCAGCAGCGCTAAGGATGTCCGACTGCAGCTTAGGCCTGCTCCCCGCTGGCAAGTGGGCACCCCCCAAGGGCTGCCAGGCTGCCAGAGGAATGTCTGACTGCCAGCTTGGGCCCAATCCCCCAGGGAGTGGGCCTAAGCCAGCAGGTGGACATCCTCCGAGGGGTCCCAGACTGCAAGAGGGCATACTCCGGGCTGAGGGACCCCCCTGAGTACACAAATTTTTGTGCACCGGGCCTCTAGTTACATTAATAAAAGTATTATATTTCTTTATTCAAGGCATTTAGCCTTTGATTTTCTTAAATTCTTATACTGCAAATCTAGAAATTTAACAATGCAATGTACTCTCTGTTAAATTAATAAACAAAAACTTGATTCCATAATCACCCTGGTAAAGACTGGTTCTAAGCCATTTGGAGCAGTGCTTGACCGAAATCTTCTCCTTCTCCATGTTTCAGATCTATTTTCCCTTGTGATTTTTCCATTCGGGGAAGGAGGTGGAGGAGGAACAGGCATCATGTAACTGTTAATGTTCAGAGGTTGATACTGTTTCATTCCCTGTGAATTGTCCATGGAGTTCCTGAGCTTCATCATTGCCTTCTTGCCCTGTAATCACATTCCATGACATAAGAACCAATGAAAGAGAATTAAGTGGTGATTCAGTATCACCCAAAATTAGAGACAAGACTGTATGATTGACATTGCAATGCAACACAACTGATATAAATAGGCAAACTCAAAACAATCCATTCTGTTTGAAGCATCCATAGAAAATTAAATTTTTATGAATTTCTAACATTATTTAAGTGTATTTTTAAACCAAATATACAATGATGGCATCTTTAGAGTACTTTGGGGATTTTTCCTCAACAATCCATTAAATCTAAGTATAATTAAACAATTTGGAATCAAGAAGTTTAAAGTGTTTACTTTGAAGCATGGTTGAAGAGTCTACTTAACAATGGGGTCTTAGCACTTTCTTCATATTCATTTCACCCATTCAGGTGTTATAGTAGTCCTTGACAATACAATTTCAAGGTACCAAGTACAGAGGCTAACCCAAAGGCTCTATTCAGCTTATTTTCCCCTAGAAACTCAACTTGTAAGAATAAATGCTACCGAAGACAACTACAGAAGTACACTGGTGGAAATGTAAGGATACATACACACATACAAGTACACATTATGTATAACAAACTTAGTTGAACATCAAGTCCATCAATAAGAGAATGTTCAACTAAATTTTTCTTTGTTCTTAGAGTCGCAGCAGGCTTCAAAGAGAATTGTGTGAATCTATTCATAAAAAGATCTATGTGGTGTAATCATACATTTCTTTTAAATAATTTATATATAGATTTTGGTAAAATTAGGGATATCTAGAAGAATTGAACATAAGGTTTTCATGGAGATTTGGATATTTGGGGAGGATATTACTTTGT